TTCTATATGAATGAGTGAGTGAGGGAGCATGGCTTACACGCCACTTTTAGCAATAATCCAGCAATATTGCAGCAGGGGACACTAGAAATGAGCTTCACACATTGTACCCATGTCGGGAATCAAACCCAGGTCTTCGGCATGACCAGCGAACACTTTAACCACTAGGCTACCCAACTGCCCCTTATACCACATGATATATGATATATATACTAATAGTGGTAGGGATATCTAACATTCATGAAAGATGGAGGTAAGTGAAAGCTGATTGAAAAGGTGCATTAACCTGTACTTCAAAAACATTAAGGAGTGAAACTGAATTGATAGAAAATCCAACATAATTTTAAGAGCACAAATCCATTTTAGCATTCCTCATTAATCAATGATGCTTTAATTATTGTTGATATGAATTTCCATTTAGTTTGATTTCTCCTCTTGGTGCTTGTTGATTGTTGTGTCGATTTAATTCAATATTATAGCTACAAATTATTCCAATTTGAAAGCTACACCAGGGGTTATTTTTTTAGATAAAAACATTATTGTATTCATGGTAATTACAACATTTGAATATGGCCTTCTTTAGATCATTTACATATCAACTATTTAAATTCCTGATCTGGAATTTAGTAGAGCACTCATATTGTACATGAGAGAGTGACTAAGGAATCATGCAGCTTTTTGTCGTGATGTTGTGCACGACTTGAGGACAGCCCCGACAAAAAAGATGCATTGTACAGGAATTTTGTAATCATCTAAAAATTGGATTTGGGTTGGAATGTGATAAAAAAAATATGATAACCTTGCCCTGGTTCAGGTCCTTATAAATATTATATTTGTAAAAAACTGACAGTGGCATTCTATTGTCAATTTTATTGTCAAAGCGAACTTTACAGTCGGTGGTATGGAAAAAATCTGTCACTCTGATTTCATTTTTTTCTGAATTTTCAGTGTTTAATGTCACTGAATCCATAAACCATGCAAAAAATGGAATGCCCAAGTTAAAATTTAAACAATGCCAGAAATGTCAGGAACTTGAAACATTCAAACCTCATTCAAAATAACATGTTTAACAGTGCTCCCATGACAGCAGAACGTTAACTCACAACTAACGTCATAACACGGTAACACAGTCCCGCCTATCAGTAACACCTTGGAGGCATACAGTCCATCACTTCTCCCCATGTGATAACGCTTGCATCCCCCACAGTGGCGTACATCTCACCACCACCTGTGCGGCAACACAATCGCCTGTGTCTAGATATAGCTCTGTGAAACCTCTCTCTTCACATATTAATCATCTGTTGGAATGGTTGTAGTCTGATGAGGGTTTCAACCGCCCCCCACTGTTTACTCAGATGATAACTGACAGAAATTAGCATCTTTAACTCAATATCTTCCTCGAGTTCACCTGTCTAGTTTTGTTTCTATGGCTGCAGATCAGGACACATACCTCACACCATATGTACCGGTAGTCACTCCCTACATGTAGGTCACCTTGTGAATCTTTCTATTTGAAAGCTATTGTCAGTGTGGTTTAAATTGTTGAAATAGTTTCACATCCTATTTTGAAGCCACAGCACTTCACAGCCAACAGTATGTGTCAGAGTAGTTTTTTTCAGTATTAAAAAACGGCTTTATTTGGAGGATAATAGTTACAAGTTGAATCATGTTTAAAAAATTTCAAACTTTCACAACAATAAAAGAAAATGATAACAAATTTGGTTCTCATTGCATAACATAAACAAACACTGATGAAACTAAATGTATTATTGTATATAAGATAACTTTGTGATAAATCACAAAAAACAATGAAGAATGAAACATGGCTTTTTTTTCAGGATAAACCATCGTTCTATCATGACATCATTTCTGGATGTTTGAACAAAGGCTCACATCTTGAGGACGTCATAAATTTGACGATGTTATCTTGAGAGGGAAGTGTATAGCGAGTTGCTTCCCATAGATGTTGATAATGCAGATAAATGTATGGCCGTATGATTGCATACAAATGTGGGAGAGATATGACAATCGGAATTAGGAGAAAAAGGAACAAAAAATCAACGAGAAAATTCTGAGAACATCAGGGGATAACCAAACTTAACCCCACTGTTCACATAAGGGACTTGTCCAACATTGCCAAAGTCGAAATGTATTCAGGGTCCCATCATGATTTAAATTTGGATAAATATTTTTAAAACTCATACATAATATTAACATCCTCGAAGAGGCTGTTCATAATGTTGATATCTCATAAAAGAAATAAACAACTTGTGGTCGTTGTATATCATACAATAAAACACTGCTGTATGATAAACAACTCTCGCTCATCGTTTATTCTAAAATAACATAATTTTGTCTGTACTTCAATCATCAAAAACATTTTCAATACAACAATGCTCTCAAAGACAACTTACGTAAGTTCATTTTCTACAAACACCACCATGATGCCTGTCATCCCATCTCAGTTTGGGACTTTGTGTTACTCACAAAGAAACTATGTTTGTTATTTTCCATCATGTCTACCAGTAGACATCTCTCATTTCATGTGGCATTTGTTGCAGGGACCTTACAGACAGACGTAAGAGAGCCACTCGCAGTCTACCTGTGTTAGACATGGGGTCCCACACACAAATGTCAGACACACTGGGATGTTTATATCATTCTTATGAGAGCATGAGAAGGTGGTACTTGGATCAGTAACATATCTGTTCAAGAGGCTTGTAAGCACACGAGAAGAAGGAATGGCCTCAATAACATATCTGTTCAAATGGCTTATAAGTTCACAACATGGTATTGAGACTTGTAGTACATTGGTTACAGTGGCTTATAAGTTCACAAAAATATGGTATTGGGACTTGAATATCTGTTACAGTGGCTTATAAGCACAAGAGCATCAATATGTCTTCCCGAGAACACCATCACGCTTCATAACCAGAACATCACCACACATCTTCCCAAGAGCATAAATATGTCTTCCCCAGAACACCATCACGCTTCATAACCAGAACATCACCACACATCTTCCCAAGAGCATCAATATATCTTCCCCAGAACACCATCACGCTTCATAACCAGAACATCACCACACATCTTCCCAAGAGCATCAATATGTCTTCCCTAGAACACCATCACGCTTCATAACCAGAACATTTCCTCACACAAACTCCAACCAGATATACAATTCATAACTTCAGAGTATGTAATGTCTTTCTCTTAATGGTACCATTTCCTCTGTCAGGCCCGTGATTGCTTTTAACGACTGTATCAACGTGGGGAGTAGAACCTGGCTAGTTGGACTGATGAGTGACCGCTTTAACCACTCAGCTACCCCAATGCACCATGGCATGGCTTGAGAGTCACAGGCCTTCACCAAAAACAGTACCATCATTACCGATACGTAAGTAGTGGACTCCATTTGACATGAAACATATTGTTGATGTCAGTAATATTTCTAGTATTGCCAATAATTCATACACCTACTCAATTTTTTCAAAGATAATAATGCCAGGATGTGGCCTGTTTCTTGTTCACCTATAACAATCAAAACACCACGTATTGTAATGCAAGTTTTATTCCATAAAATGTAAAGATGGGGCAAAAAAGGAAAAGGACAAAAGCTTGTGTCTGAAAAAGTGTTGTTTAATTTGTCACCCCAATGATGTTTCTAGGTTTGTCCACACCAACCCCTGCTCGTGGGTTTCACCGAAGTGGAAAACGTCTGAGACCTGCATCACTTTGAGCTTTCCTCCCACATTAAACTGAAACGTCTGTATACCTGGAATACCTCACTCGATCCAGTGTTTCTGAGTGTATCAAATCCTACAACTTCAGATTCCTACCACAATACAATGAGGTTGGCCTAAGTGGCACTGAATGACTTCATGTTATACAACCCACAAGTAATCACGTATGTAAATGTCAGATCTCTACATCAAGATGTGCATCTGTTTTGTGATGCACAAATAATGTCATAACACGTGCAGAAGTGCTGGTAAAGGTGTAACTCCCAGCATCAACGCTGCCAAAATACACAGCATGGAAGAGAACCTGTGATGATCTGGGATATTCTGGTGTTGAGGATGAGCACATGGGTACATCAAGTACTGCACCTATAGGTATACCCACAGTCTACATAATGTGCACCTGAATAAGAGGCTGACCACTGGCTTTAAATCTTCCACCTGAAGCTGCGTGAATCACTCATTTCTGTGTGTCACACTGTCCACAATTTTGTTTTGTTGCAGGAATTGTTTTATAAACCAACCAGAGTACCTCAGACTTACTGTGTACATAATACCAATATTTTGAAAATTTAATATCAAGGGCAGATCCACACTACTACCAAAAATGCAAATGAGAGCAATTTCACTCAGGGAGAGAACCATTCCATGAAGGAATCTTAGCGCTACAATGAATGTAAGTCTCTGTTTATGTATTGGATATAAAATTGTGTAAGGGTTGCGAACACTTTATAGAATGGGCCCAGGTCACACAGACAGTAACTACCTGATCCCCATTTAGCTGGCTCTTACAATGAGTGAGTGGGTTGGGTTTAACGCCGCTTTTAACAGTATTCCAGTTATATCACGGCATGTCAGCTTAATATGGGGGGAAGGCCTGAAGTGATGCAGGTCTCAGACGTTTACCACTTTGGTGAAACCCATGAGCATGGGTATGGTGCTGACATACCTAGAAACATAATCGGGGCGAACTGGGATTCCAACCAACAATCATAGGTTTCTGGCGTGCCCAAGGGATGCAACTCTGCACAACTCTACCCCTTAGATGACTGGGCCACCCGTGCACCTCTCTTACAATGAATATACATACTAGGAGAGACTAGTATACAGGGCTAGTATTTCTATATAATGTGGCACAAACATTGTACAAAATAAAGATATCACAACATCGGAACACACATCTGAGAAATCACCCGTGCTGAAACATGCTTCTGGATCTGCCCTTGCGAATATTTCAAACAATACAGTTTCACACCAACTTACCACATAATTTCTGCGGCTGGTTTCCCAATGATTTTGCATGCCAACTGTGTCCTTGACCCCTCGTAACCTGTGACATCATCCAGCTCTTCGTATACAATGGGGGCATGTTCTGGCAGTTCTGTGGACGCAACACAGGGAATCAACATCTCTTTCAAAACTTGAATATTCGTTTCTTCTCAGTATTTACAATAAATCGCCATCTCATTAATGACATTATGAAACAAAACTCAGACTGGATACTATTCCACTCAGGTTTCAAAACACTATGCTGAAACAAATCCAGCTCTTATTGACCGCAGTACTATCTTCTTACTGACTGATATTCACTTCATGAGAAAATACAACCAGATGTGGCATAGCCTATTATGACCTTTAGGTAACCAGTTAAAGATGTACCTATGTTTACCCAGTGGTATTAACAAGGTGTCAGGTAACTAGCATCTTTACCACAGGTCTACCATACAAAGACTGGAGATTGCAGGCCCCACTACCATATGTATACCTCAGGCCATTCTCACATACTGATATACAGGGTTGTCCAGATCTCCTTGACTATCATCCATTAGGCCTTTTTTGTTTATTATTTGGAATACAGATTTTCTCCCATATCTCCAGGATTCAACCAGTGGTTCAAATTAAAGCAGGACCATTAAAGGTAGGATCATTTAAGGGCTTAATTATTAGGTGTTACATTTATAAGTTAAGTGAAACTCACATGAAAATTATCAGACATTTCAAAATGGCCGACACCTATGACATTTTTCTTTTCTAAAACAAGCAAGACTCGTACTTCAGGCGAGATCAGTTATTTCTGGGGGTATTTTTTTACGGTTTTGAAGCTGTTTGCTTTACCGATGGCCTATGTAAATTATGTGTTGAATGACTTTGACCTTGGAATGAGTTTGTTGTCAAACAAATGCTGAACAACTCTCAAACAATTGTCGAACAACTGTTTCTCTTTCATAAATGTTCGCCAAAACTGATTAATTGTCAAACAGTACGTTGTTTGACAAGATATTGTTTATAAGGACAGATTTTGTTGGTAAAAAATAGACTAAAAACCTTACTTTAGTCCATGTTTTTAAAATATTTGATGGATCTGTAAACCTAGTAACTAAAACAAAAAAGTCGGATAAGTTAGAAAAAAAAATCAGCCATTTTGATATTGTGACCAGAATATTTTTTTATGTTTTCACACCACATATACACAAACAATGCAACACTGTTCTAAATGCACAGGTCAACCAATATATCAACTATATATTTAATTCATCTGTCACTCAACCTAGTTCATCATGTCTCAGACTTGTGTCAACATTCATAAGCATACAGTTATCAGTTATTCTTTTCCAAACTATCATCTCCTGATCATGTTGTGAAGTACCTACCCATGACAAGGTTGCGTGCAAGTATGCCGAGCTCGCCCTCCTTCCTGAAGACAGCACTGTCCCGAGACAGGCGGCCGATGGGGAGAATGTCCAGCTCATCCTCCTGAAACAGGGAAACACAAAACTCATCAAAATCAAATCTTGACCAAAAGCATGATGACATTTTCCAAACAAAGGCCAGTGTTCTTGTTAGAGTTGTGGTTAGTTCTTTCAGTTTTCTGTTTAGACATAAAAGGAGGGATACCATGGTAATAGCAAACTGAAAATTTGAAATATAACAGTATTCCTAATCATTCTTCATTTACAAAAAATAATAAGCTCAGAAATACAGAATGTTTAACATAAAAAAAGTAAAACCTAACATCCAAACCATTTAAAATTTTGACACAATTCTGAGGTTTACCGGTATCTAGTCCTGCTAAAAGACCAAAAACCTGCAGCAAATGTCAGTAAAAATTTCCAAATTGGAATTAAAGATTTTACAGTTAATGCTATTTTAGTTAAAGCTAACGTTATGGCTTTAAAAGTTCACTATCATTTCATAGGACCAACATGAAGGAAAACACTTTAATCCTTAGTTTAACATTACTGCGAGTTTTAAAAAATATTTTAAGTTAGAACCTCAGAATTCTTTTTTAAATTTCTCATTTAGAATAAAACGATCATTTTTCCCAGTTTGCCTATCTAGGGCTCTCCGTTCAGAATCCTACACAAATCCCTGCAATGTTTCCAAGTTTGGCCAGCATGTGTGCTTCCTATTGTGTTACTGCAAGTTACCTTGTGTCTGGTTCTGTCCCTGTAGTCCTTGTGACCCTGGCGACACAGCTTCACCCCCTTCAACTTCTTCTCTGCTGCCCCCTGGAACATACCGACGACGTGATGCTGTTAGTGGCCACATAGCATCACATACTTCCACATCACAAACCAATGCTTGTCATAAAAGACGACAATGCTTGTCATAAAAGACGACAATGCTTGTCGTAAGTGGCCACTAACGGGATCGGGTGGTCAGGCTCGCTGACTTGGTTGATGCTTGTAAACGATCCCAGTGGCGTGGATCGATGCTCATGACGTCAATCACTGGATTGTCTGGTCCAGACTCGATTACTTACAGACCGCCTTCATATAGCTGGAATATTGCTGAGTGAGGCGTTAAACAACAAACAAACAAACATCACTGTCACATTAGTGAAAACCACTGACAATATTTATAGCTCTTAACACATATCTGTATCTAAAGTTGTTTAATCCTTGAACAGATACAACCCAGGATTGAAAAGACATTCTTGTTGGCATCAGATGGCGCTCACAAGATATGTATTTGAAATAAAAAAGTAGCCTAATGTGATATATTAGCAAATGGCTCATTGGTTAGCAAGCTGGTATGAAATTAATATTTCTATGTTCAGCTAAGAAGCACTTCAGGAAGTAGATATATTACATGGAAGCTATTTTCAAACATTTATAAGAGAAATAATGTTAAAATAAATAAATGGTGACATAGTTCTTTTTCGTTCAAGGACTATGAGATGAAACTTCAAAATGATAAATCCCTATCACCATCAGAATTCTGAATCAAATTCCGACACATGTTTAAAGAACTAAACATTTTTAAAATTTATATCACACAAGGGGAGAGAACTCCTAATACAAGAGCATTCACGATTCGTGTCTCGAGGATACGGTTTCACATTTGACAACAAGTGCAGAAGCGTTACTTACATCTGTGACATCAAGGTCAAGGTCAGTCTTGGGTCGGGGCTGCGGGAGCAAAAATGCGGCATATACGTGAGCATTCGACATTTTGCGTGACGGTATACATTGCACCAAGGGGAACAAGAGTCTTCACTGGTTATAGACAGCATAGCCACAGTTTGACAATCAGGTGAGCAAAATACCACTTGTAGACAACAAGGGCCACAGCATCCACATGATTTAGATACTGACATGGATGATTATTGCACAACATGCACTGGCTTGGTCCCGTTGATGCAATGAGCATGAATGTACAAGCTTGTTAACATCTATACACAAGGTGTGGAGCCTTGCTGTCATCTTAGCATTTGGAGCCTAGCTGTCATCTTAGCATTAGGATCTTGTCATACTATTATACAGATAATACCTGGGCCCACCTGCACAAAGCGATCTTAGCGCTAAGACTACTGTAAGCCTATGTTAAAGTTTGGGAGTTAAGATCATCTTAGCTCTAAGAGCACTTTGTGCAAGTGGGCCCTAAACTTGCCTTGTCTCAGTTATATTTATCCTATTTCTTGTGTGGAATGCACACACCCATTACTTGGGTACCCATTTCGGGAAACATTGCTGTCTTATATGTAAAGTGCAGTCAGTAATTACATTGTATTACTTCAGGTGAACAAACAGGATATAACCTAGTTGGTCAACGTGAATGTACATTTTGTGATAAAAGTTGGTTGGTTTGTTGTTTAACGCCGCACTCATCAATATTCCAGCTATATGATGGCGGTCTGTAAATAATAGAGTCTGGACCATACAATCCAGTGATTAATATCAAGAGCATTGATCCACGCAATTGGGATCAATGACATGCATCAACCAAGTCAGCGAGTCTGACCACCCGATCCCGTTAGTCGCCTCTAACAACAAGCATAGTCGCCTGTTACGGCAAGCATGGGTTGCTGAAGACCTATTCTACCCCGGATCTTCACAGGTCTTTTGTGATAAAAGATCACAAGACATGATGATATACAATCCTTTATATATTGATGATGATTCATGGATGTCAAAAGTAGTTGACACTTTACAAATATAGAATGATTGATTTTTTTGAAAGGACATGCTATTTGAAATACGCTTGACAATAACATTATTTAACAAGTTATTATTTGGTTTACCGACTGCTGACTATTTTTTGTTCCCCTCCAAAACATACCTTTCAGAGATCACTTGCATTTCTTTTCTAATTTTGCAATTCAATTTTTGCATATCATAGTTTAACCATCAAATTGAGTGCACGAGGAATGATTAAATACAATGAGCATTTATCATCTACACGGAGGAACAAGCCAAATAAACAAAATATCATTTGCAAATTGCAGCACCATCTAGCCTTTTTTATTGACAATGATGTCCTTTAGCAGTTTAGTGTCCTTTTTGTTCACTGACGTTGTTTCATACACATTGTTCTTTCTTCACATATGACATCTTTTGTTTCTGAGTTGTTCATTGGTAATTTTTGATATTTTGAATTCATTATTTGCATGTAAATAATGACCTCTATTTGAAACATTCATTCTTTTTTTCATAACATTTGACTATAATTACGTACTTTTGTCCTTTTTTTCAACTTTGTATTTTTTTACCAGATGGCTGTCTATAAAACTCTATGGTTTTGAAAGAAACTTTGTAAGCAAAGGAATAACTCCTTTTTTATCCCTCTATGAACAGTCTTAAACTGAATCAGAAAAATTGTTATACAATTTCTATAAAAAAACAACAGAATATGGCATTGTACAGTGTACTAGTTAGATGACAACAAAGTTCCACAGTTAATAACAATGAATATTATGATACAATGATATATGGATATGACTGATATCATGGTTTATACACCACTGTATGTATAACAATGCATATCACTGTTGATGAAGATGCCTGGCTGTTGATGAAGATGACTATGCTCACAATGCACAATAGAGGAATCATCAATTCAAAGTGATGATGAAGATGAAATTCCACCCTTGATGATGAATATGGTATGGAATAGTAGATGGTTGAGTATAATTTTACCCAACATTTGGCAATATTCCAGCCATATCACCATGGAAACACCTGATTTGGGTTTCACACATTGTACCCATGTGGAGAATCAAACCCAGGCCTTTTAGCATGAGGAGTGAATGCTTTAACCACTAGGCTACCCCACCATACCTTATAATTGTTGCAGAATATAATATGGAATGGTTGATGAAGGATATGAAATGGAATGGTTGAAATGTCAAAGGTCAGCACCATGCTCCTAGGTTAAGGAAAGGTATATGCCTCTACAGTTTGTCACAATATAATAAGATATATTCTGACAAATTAGCTTGTAACAAGCGTAAAATACAAAGTTGCTTTTTCAAATATTCCGATACATTATAGGTTCTTTACCCCTCAGAACCAAACATCACCATCTTAATCCTGAATCCCAAATCATATTTAAGCTGGCAGTATCTGTAACAATTAGAAAGTCTTGAAAAAATCCAGTTAAAGAATTTCATCAGCTGCATTTGTAAAAGAAATACCAAATATTCTTAAACTGCATAACAATGCTAATGAAAAAAGTCAGATAGAATTCAATGTACCGTATTTGCCGTAATAAGCGCCCTTGAAACTTGACCAAGGGGGATGCTTATCAAGACCAGAACCAACAAGTTAAATTTGTTTTGAAAGATTAGGCACTAGTGAACCAAATTTGTGAAGAAAAGGTAATGTAAAAAATTTGATAATAGTTGGGCAGTTTAATGTAAATGTAAATATGGACCGTCATGTACATTTCTGGTCTTATTAGGGGACGTTTATCAAAATTACTCACATGTTGGTGTAGAATGAGTGAGTGAGTGAGTTGGGTTTAACGCCGCTTTTAACAGTATTCCAGTTATATCGTGGCGTGTCAGCTTATTGTGGGAGGAAAGCCCGAAGTGATGCAGGTCTCAGACATTTACCACTTCGGTGAAACCCACGAGCACGGGTATGGTGCTGACAAACCTAGAAACATAATCGGGGCGAACCGGGATTCGAACCCACAATCATAGGTTTCTGGCGTGCCCAGGGGACGCAACTCTGCACAGCGAATCGCGGCGCCTTAGACGACTGGGCCACCCGTGCCCCCTGTTGGTGTAGAAGTTGATAAGGGGGCTTAATATGGTAAATACGGTACTGACTTATACTTAAGGGCATCACTTAAAGGGTGACCATTCTCCACAATTTAGCGGCTGGTATCAATGTTAATTTTAAGTTTGCTGACAAATAATTTTGGTTTGAAAGACTTGAATCAAATTTGCTCCAACTGCCAACTGGCCCAAGTCTAGTTTCCCTTCAAGCCCCCAGCAGTTAGTGGGGACACAGGGCTCCGCGATGATGTACAATACTACACATATCTCATTCCCAAACTGGAGACTGTAGCCATGCCTCTGCCACACTTAAAGCAGTGTATGTCCCACGACAGATGAGAGGATGACAGCAACACAAGGTAGGTAGAAGCGGTACTTACATTCAACCAGGGGTGGGCCAACGCCTCGTCGATCGTCATCCTCTGCCTGAAAGTTGCAGTGCAGAAAGTTAATATGTACCGAAACAACAAGCTACAGACACCACTGAACATCTCTCTTCTTTGAATGAATTGTGGGCAGGTTGTGTCTTCTGGATTTAATTCCTATGCTCAAAAAGTGTCAGTAAAATTCATACTAATCTTCGCCATCAATTAAGTAACTATTATGGTCATTACCGTCCTCTTCATGAAATTGAAATGTTTGACAAAATGCAAGCTATAGCATACGCAAATTAGTCACCAAGGTCAAGGGGAGACTACTCTAGCAACTCACTTCTTGTCTTTCAAGAGGAGTTTGTTGATGAAGTCCCGAGCTTCCTCTGATACAGGCGCCCAGGCCTCGTCATCGTAGTCGAACTCGGCACGGTTGATGTACACAAAGGTCTCCTGGTCACTCTCTCCAGCAAATGGTGAATAGCCGCTCAGTCTGGATGAAATACACTCAAAATACAATGCCATATCTAGGATAGCCACACTTCAGGCCAATGTCAGTTGCTTCAGTTATTGCAATGTAGCTTTAACATACAGATGGAGAGAATAAGAGAAACAGGTTTCATTTGTCTGACAAGATCATACTACGAAAAGTTTAAAGATGGTACTTGTTTTTAACCTGCCTGGCGCTTGGCATTGAGGGGCTAAAACAAGGACTGGTTGCCTCGGAGTCAGTATACTGTGTCTGAGTGGGGTATCCATGTTAAACTGCAGCATGGTATCTCAGTGGGCTAGCACTATAAAATCGCCATTAGTCCAGACTAGTTCAAGCAGCCACACACAGATGTGCATGTACCTCACTATATAAGTGCAATAATCTTGGAGGTGACGTTAAACCCCATTTCACCTCACCTCAAATAAGTTTCCTAATGGATTCCAGGCAGGTTTGACAATATCGGGTACTTACAGGACATACGAGACCACGCCGAGGGACCACATGTCGGTTGCGAAGGACACAGGTTCAAAGCTGATGATCTCAGGTGCACAGAACTCGGCTGTTCCGAACAGAACCTTGACGGACTTGCCTTCCTCCAGGCGCTGAGCCAATCCGAAGTCGATGAGCTTCACGTCCTTGCTGTCCTTGGTCACACACATGACATTCTCTGGCTGTTGACAGGACAGACACTTCTGTCATTGCTTCAGTTACATCACCAATCATTATGAAAGCTAAGGTTTTAACTGCCTTTAGGTAGATTGAGTGAGTGAGCATGGTTTTACGCCGCTTTTAGCAATATTCCAGCAATATCATGGCGAGGGACACCAGAAATGGGCTTCACACGTTGTACCCATGTTGGGAATCAAACACGGGTCTTCGGCGTGACGAGCGAACGCTTTTACCACTAGGCTGCCCGACCGCCCCCCCTTTAGGTATAGTTCAGTAATATCCCAGCAGAAAACAGAAATGGTATCACATATTTTACCAATGATGGGATTAGAACCGGGTCTCTGTTTCAATGAGGCAAACACTTTAACCACTTGGCTACCGATTGTTCAGAGTTATGTAGAACATTAAGCGTTCTATGATAGAAATTCCTTCAGCAGTGTCCATACATCTATATACTTGTTCATATGACTATAGCTTATCTGTCAAATGAAATAATCGTGTTTTCTTTACTTTTTTGTGTGTAGAATCTGTATGTTTTAACAGAAACAACTGTACTCTGGGTTGGCATCATATACAAGCATATAATTAAAATATGTTGAAAGTGCCTGACTGACCTTGAGGTCAAGGTGGATGATGTTGTTGCTGTGCATGTGCTGCACGCCCTGGCAGATCTGCCGCATGTAGGTGATGCAGTCTTCCTCCGTCAGGTCGTACTGTTGCTGGACCAGGCGGTCGAACAGCTCGCCGCCACTCAGTCTGCAAACACATACCATGGCATCTTAATCAACTCATGAAGGTTTTCTAACACAAGCAAAATTTGATCCAACTCTTGATCCAACTCAACAAAACATTTATTTTGTTATATCCAAAACCGGATCACCTGACCAGAAAATATGGTGTCGTCTCAGGGAGTTGAGAATAGAAATTCAAATACACACTGATTCCCTAACCATGTCATGTATTTTGTGCCTGGCACTATATAAGTGTATTATTATTATCATGACCAATACCATTTACCTCCACTGTTAGAAAAATAAAATTATGATTAACAACATAAAAATATTAAAACCCAAATATACCGCATTATCAATTTTCCAATTAAACCACAAGGCAATAGTATCTATTTATTGTCAACAAAGACTACACCAAGGACTCACAGTTCAAGGATCATGACCATCTCGCCTGGCTGGTCGAAGGCCTCATGGAGCTGCAGCAGCTTCTTGTGATGGAGGCGGTTCATGATGTCGATCTCGTGACGCACCGTCTCCTTCTCGTGGGGGCGGCAGCGGATGAACTTGGCGGCCCAGTTCTTACCGGTGGCTCGCTCAACAGCGCGATGGACAACACCAAATGCACCTCTGTAATGACATTGACGGTTAAGTGAGATCAGTATACGTTCATAGATATTTGTAATGAAACTAAATTAGGCATTGAGAACAAGAAGCTGTTTCACTGTTAGTGAGTGAGTTGGGTTTAACGCGGCTTTTAACAGTATTCCAGTCATATCACGGTGTGTCAGCTTAATGTGGGAGGAAAGCCCGAAGTGATGCAGGTCTCAGACGTTTACCATTTCGGTGAAACCAACAAGCACGGGTATGGTGCTAACAAACCTAGAAACATAATCGGGGCGAACCTGGATTCGAACCCACAATCATAGGTTTCTGGCGTGCCTAAGGGATGCAACTCTGCACAGCGAATCGCGGTGCCTTAGATGACTGGGCCACCCGTGCCCCCTTGTTTCACTGTTAACACATGCAGGATAAATATTATCTCGTGAACATGGCTGGGAACTAGCTGTGACTGACCTTCCGAGTTCCTCACAGATGATGTACTTGCTGAGGATGTCTCCTCGGATTCTGCTCACATCAACTGGAGTTCCGGTGAAGTCAGCATCATCTGTATTAGAGATTAGAGGTGTATTAGAGTTGTACATTCGTAAATCTCTTAACTGAAAACAATCTTTTGATCAATCTGTAAGACTCTTATCAAAGAAATCTTGTTCCTTTTTCAATAGAAATGCCTAACCAGGGCTAAAAGCAAGTAGGCCAACTACTTTATGTGTGCAACTCACAAAATACCCATTCTTTGCACAAGATCAGGACATTTTTCCAGAAATTCCTCAAGGAACAAAATTAATACAGTGTTAGATCAAAACAACCCTTCCAAATCCATTACTCATATCAATACATGAAAATCTGTTCTTTGTGTAAATACCACCTTGCAAATAAAGTTCAAAAAGCATGCAAAGCCTTGTTCCTTACATAGATTATCATAGTCCACGACTGGGATCGGCTCACGGGTGACCACAAGCTCGGATTCAGGTCCAGGACTGCTGATGCCGTACATGTTCTCTGCCAGGATGCGGAACTTGAACTGTCCTCGGTCTTCCAGGCAGGTGACTGTGCAGGACTGTGTGTTGGATGTGATGGCGTGGCGCCAGATAGTGGTCTGCATGTCACACTTCTCGATGATGTAGCCAGTGACGGGGGAGCCACCGTCGTCCTTGGGGGCGGCCCATGTCATACTCACAGAGTGCTTGTCCACGCTTGTGATCTCAGGTTTGCCAGGACGGTCAGGTCGATCTGAGGACAGTGGTAAAGAGTAAGTCAGTATATCATGGCACTCGGAACATTATTTCTGCTACACCTTGCAAGTCATCTTAACTTGGCAGGTCTTCATATTTACCACTTTGGTGAAAGCCAAAAGCAAGGGTATGCTGCTGCCAAACCAACAATCATAAACAGGGGGAATCTTGGTCACAGCCACATGGCTAAGCCATAGGATGAGCTAATATTATATCTATATGCAGAAGGAAAAAAAGGGAACATAGAAATATCAAAGATTAATACTAACTGCAATTTCAGTAAACTGTTTTGTATCCACAAAATAATGATACAGTAATCTGCTAGTATCTGGTGTGTTTACTACATTCATACATTGCTCAATAGTCTATTGTTTTCTTTGCTACAGACAAAATTTAAGACCACCAGATGTTTCTTTATGTTGCCTTATTTCTTTCTGTCAGTATATACTACTCAAAGGAAGTTAAAGAACACCCAATATTTTCAAATGACTATAGTTAATCTGTCATGGCAGATAGTGAACAGATTGACTTTAAATATGCCATTTTAACGATAGTTGTATGAAACAATATCAGTGTTCTTTTACTTCTTTTGAGTAGCATATATGCAGATATGCAGTCAATGTCTATTTGGTACTGACCAACAACAGAGATGGGCACTGTGGCGCTGTCGGAGCCCAGCTTGTTCTGTACTTCAAGAGTGTACTCTCCCTCATCACGCTTGTCAGCATCCTGGATGATGAGGGTGGAGTGTTTGGGTGTGGTCGTGATGTCGATACGAAGTTCATCGGGGAGTGCTTTCCCATTCTTTTTCCAGGTGGCAGTGGGAAGAGGAAGTCCAAATATGGGCACGCGGAGCTTGATGGAGTCTCCACTGGATATACAGAGACCGTCGGCGTAGCGTGGAGGGAGTTCGATACGGGCGGGAGCTGAAGGGCAGATGCAGGATATTCTATAGGTCTATCTCAACATCTCTATCTCACTATACGTGGAGCATGTTATCAGTCAACATTATTAGCTAGAAGAGAAACTGTGATCCATGGTTTGGTGCACCCTGGTCTAGGTCTATACGTAATTAGTGGTGTGCGTGAAACGGAGACATTGTGTAATTAGCTGTTACAAGAAATATACACTATACAATTTGAGTTAGCAAAACATACCACACACACTATGCTTGGCTCTGATAATGTCAACTTACCCAGAACATTAGGCTTGGCTCTGATAATCTCAACTTATCCAGAACATTAGGCTTGGCTCTGATAATCTCAACTTATCCAGAACATTAGGCTTGGCTCTGATAATCTCAACTTACCCAGCACATTCAGCTTGGCTCTGATGGAGATAATTCCGTATCTGTTCTTGGCCTGGCACTCGATGTCACCACTGTCTTTCAGCTCCACATCTTTGACCACCAGGGTGAAGGTAATGTCATCAGCCTTCACGGAGTACTTGCGGGTGTCGAACACTTCACAGTAGTCCTTGTACCTGGAGCAACAACAAATAGTCCCATTACAACATGGCAAAGACCATTGCAAATTTAGAACTCCACCTGGCGTACCTTTTGTCCAGATTCCAACTGTGACTAAAACAATTCCTTATTTCCAAAACACTACTGAATATTAACTTTAAGTTGTATGTGATGATGCCATGTCTCTTACCATGTGACCTCTGGGTTTGGTATTCCAGTCACTTGGCAAACGAAGCGAGCCTCTTCACCGACTGGAATGTCAAGGTCACCGAACTCCTGCACGAACTTGGGTGCTTCCGTCACTGAAATTGCAGGGTGTAGTGTATAAAGATTTGTTTCAGTTTCAGTCATGAAATGCGCATGGAATAAATAGTTCGCTTCAGACTTCAGACCTTAATGTTGATTATGTCTATATACATGTCTATGTTTCATTCAACACTGTCCACTATTTACCGATTGTTTCTCTGCAGACAACAGCAGCAGATGGTGGAGAAGGTGAGCTGAGCCCAACTGCATTCTGGGCAATGATGCGGAATTCGTAGGTACAGCCAGGATGGAGTCCATCAACACGATGTCTTGTGTCGGGGATCGCCTCCTTGTTGATTGGCAGCCAGGATCGGCCAGTCACATCCGACCTCTCAATGAAATAACCAGTGACAGGAGAGCCTCCATCGGACTCTGGTGGTTGCCATGACAACTCAACGTGGGTTGGACCAACCTCCAGTACTTCAGGTGAGTCTGGGATTCTACTGGGTGGTTCTGTAAGTACGGCACATGAGATTACTTCCATGTCTATAACATTGAACACTAATGAACTCAGTTCCTGTAGGAGATACAACACATTACATGGAATTAATTCAACTACACAAATGCATGTTAATGTACATCAAATCATGCAGTAAGGGCTGAAATGGAAGGAATCATTAATACGAAGTGCATATTTGAAATAAGCGAATCTAATTTATAACTATCTAACATAAAGCATTCGCAAAGCTAATCTACAGCTAAATGAAAACAAAACAATTTCAGTACAAGAAGTGAACAAGGTTTCTCAGTATGGATTCTTACAAACCTGAATGTTAAAAAATGGTATTTTTTTAAATCACTGCTGCATGTCCCCCAAATGAAATAAGGTTTTGCGCAGTAGTGTCCAAATATATTTTTGAAAATAATTCATAGTAACATACTGATGTAATGTATCCAACTGAGGTACAATTTCCAAACTTGACAACACACATTACGCAGACAGAAGTATGAAGCACAAAGAACAAGCAAGGCATAGATACAAGGTCAAGGATAATGAGGTCATAGGTTGACAGCAAAGGAAAGGTCAAGGTTTAATCACAGAAAGGTCACAGCAAACTTTAGGGTCAAGGTCATGCATTCACACTCAAACAACTCACACATGTTATCATCCATTCAGTGAAAAAAAGAAGAGAAATAAACAACAACAAATGTTTGTATCATGCTTTATTCAAGAGATTTGTTTGAACATCTGACATTAGGTGTTAATAATTAGCAAACCTTTATGAAAGAAAATAAATCTGAAATGAATTAAAGGCATATAGATTAAGGTTCATGCATGTAGTTAAATACACTGGGAATACACTGTTGGAATACACTTGTCATGCCACAAATAATTATGTATTTAGGAAGTCAGAGTAAAAAGTAAACAGATACCTAGAATAGAACCTGTGCATTCAACTACTGTGTATAACTACTGTGAAACTACAAAATCAACATTTAAAGCATGCTGAGAAACACTGAACTCTCACACAATGTTCAAGGCAAAAAAAAGGAAGAAAGCCTGTTCATCTACAAGTGCTGATGTATGTACGTGAACAACTAGCAAACATAACGTAAAATACATTTTCATATGTTCTAGGATGACTGTTTGAATGAATTATATTACCAATATACACAAAATGAAATCTCAAATTAAATATCTTACAAATATTTATTTACTGTAACATATTTCATTAGATTGCTCATACCTTTCTTTGCCTTCAGCTCAACAGGAAGTCGGAGTTCAGCAGGGGGGCTAACTCCGGCAGGATTTTCTGCAATGACCCTGAAGAAGAATGATTGGTTCTCTGGCAGACCAATGACATCGCGAGCTGTAGTCTTGCCTGGCACATGTGCAACACGTTCCCAGGTTTCAGAGTCTTGTGCTCTCTTCTCAACAATGTAGCCAGTGATACTGTCATCGCCCTCTGGTGGGTTCCAGACAAGGGTGAGACAATCCTTGTCGATGTTCTCCGCCCGTAATGATGCTGGTGCCTCCGGTGGAGCTGCAAGACATACAGAGTGCATGAATATATGATTGCCAGGTCCATGATAAGGGAAACTACACAATCCCATATAGGTTTTGAATTGCTTTGAACAGTACTGCAGTTTAAAGTGGGAGGATACCTCAGAGATAATATGACACCTGTTGTCATTTACCACTGGGAAACCAATAAGCACTGTTGACAAACCACAGATAATTATCAGAGAACATCATCTGAACCTGTGATCAGAGGATCCTGGCATGGGTAGGGGATACAACTCTGCACAGTGACTAGCAGCACAGCACTGCAGCCACCAATGCATCCTGAGGGTTCCACTGGCTTGCCAATGTTGTGATCTGTGGTCTGTAAATACCAATACTCATTGGTTTTGTCTTCTGGTTTTTACTCCAACAGGAAGCTGACAGACTGTGATATACACATTGACAGTAAACAGCAGCATCAAACCCAACATCACTCACTCATTCCATATCACAGATACACTTAACTGAAAATACGTAATGAGTGTGTGCATTCGTCACCACTCGCCCCTTTCCATAACCTGCAAGAAGACTCGTCCACCTATCGATGAATGTTATGTGCGTAAATACGACAAACCAATCAGAATGCGCGTATGATTTCAAGTTCTTCATCAAAGAATCCCTCAGAAACAATTTTTGATTTTACATATGTCTTTTGCGCTAAGACGGAACCCGGTCCAAAAATAGCCATGAGAGGGGCACGAGTCGCTATTCGGCTTGTCCCGGAATAACACGAGTTGGTCACGAATGGAGTGTGTGATATAACACAGTGTTGACAGGATCACATGGCCATCTGTTACCTGATTCAGTGCCATCTTTAAACTACTGAGTTACCAGTTACCATAATATCCGCTTATGAGTGAGTGAGTATGGTCTTACGCCGCTCTTAGCAATATTCCAGCTATATCACGGCGGAAATGGGCTTCACACATTGTACCCATGTGGGGAATTGAATCTGGGTCTTCAGCGTGATGAGCACCTTAACCACGAGGCTACCCCCACCATATCTGTCCCCTTGAGGGCAAAGTGAGACCCGTAGGTATGGACCTGACAAACCAAGTATGACAACAACAAGGGAGTCGACCTCATGATCAGCAGATACTTGTACGACAAAGGGATGCAATCCTGCATAGTGAATTGTGCCAACTTATGTGACATGTTTTCTTTGGGACTGTTTGTTCCTTCAGTCTTTTCATGAGGACTTGTAACTAGGTCATAGCATTGTCCAGTCTCTTGTGGTGGAGACTCTGTGTGTTGAGACGTTGAAGGACATAACTAGCTGCACTGCTGAACCTGTTTCATAATTTTATCATACAGCTGTACTGAACCTGTTTCATAATTGTATCATACAGCTTTACTGAACCTGTTTCATAATTATATCACACTGCTCTACTGAACCTGTTTCATAATTATATCATACAGCTGTACAGAACGTGTTTTAAAATGTCATGTATTTGAATATCATACAGCTCTATTGTTCACTGTTTGTATGCACATCATCACTGAAAATTAAGCTATGTCAGCAGCATTCATACAAATCATTTTCATTTCTAATGCTACATATAAAGGTGGCTCTGGCACAACAACACATTAATAATGTTTGTTGTTGTTTATTCATCCTTTAAATATTTAAATGATTACTGAACCAGTGTAGTCCGGAACTGGTTGATAAAGACTGAATACACAGTTAGGTCACTAAAGCCTAAATGAATATTTAAAGCAAACCATTTTTTAGTTTTTCATTACATTTCAGGTTGCAGGATGGAAAAACTGCATGTTGTTTGTGTTTCATGTTATCTTGTGTCATTTGTGGGCAAATATACATTTCTCCATCTCTAGCACTTCCATATGTTCCCCTTACTAACATGTGAGCAGGTTATCCCTGATGAACTGAGAGCTCAATAGAGTTACATAATAGCTACAGGACAAGTGACAATACTATCATTATCACAACTCTTCCTTATTATCCTGATCAGGTCCTCCATCAGTTTTGGAACAAAATTACCGAGTTAGCGTCTCTGTGTGTCTAGTGAACAGTTTGAGCTTAGGCATTTCCTTTCAAACCCATGACCTAGGCATTTGTGTAAGTCTGGGAACTTGCAGCTCGAGCTTGTATTGGTTGAAGTACATACCAGGCCATCATTATACCACACATGACTCAAGTGACAAACACCAGTCCTATTCCAGCAGAGCCTTCGGCTGTGTTCTAACTCAATGAAGAAACTGTCCTAAATCAGTTCTAGTATATATTTATCTTATCACATGCACAGATGCAGATGTACAACATTGTCTCCTTTGAAATATTCCAGACAAAGCATGGCCTAGAACATCACACACAGACAAGGCACACTGTTTCTATGTAGGAAATCAAACCCAGGATTTAGGTGTGATATGCAAACACCTTCAACACTAGGACACCCAATGCCACATGGTGAGTTGGTGCATCATTATAAAAAACAGGACTATATTCTGCATAATTCATTGCAATACACTAATGTGGATTCTGTTATAAAGTACTTATATTCACAATAACAGTGTCAATTGAACGTAGTCCTACATGAAGGTTTTACTAGTGATATCATGAAATAAATACATGTGTTTTGAGAGAAACCAAAAAGACAGCTTCTTTTTATCACCCACTTCATTCATTTAAGAATCTAAAATAAAACTGAGCAGAAAAATATGTAAAGAACAAACTTCTATATTAAACGTTGCCGATTTCTCCAAAAATTATAAAGAAAATGTGTACTTAACCTTACAGGTTTTCTTCAGCAATCCATGCCCAAATAACCAGCTTTTTCAAATTCCATGACAGAGCCTAGAGATTTGTATTGCATTGGTTGGACATTAACGTGTAACACGTCAGGTCCCTCCCAACCGTGGGTTATAAATACCCCCCATTCCCAAGACAAGAAGGCCGATGGCTCAAGGGGCTGGAGACAGTGTTGATCATGTGAATTTGGGTTCGAGTAAACACGTGCTAAATACAAGTTCGCATAGCATGTGATTAAACAGTTCACTCTTGCCGGAATATTTGCTGTTTATAAACTGGACAAATAGCAGGCCCTTGTTTTTAAAGTGTTTTGTTAATGGATTACCTTGCTGGAGTAGAATGGGTTGAAGTGACAATGTTTAGGAGAAAATGTCTTAGGTAGACAAACAACTTCAAACCCCACTCAAGTTAGGTAAACATTCCTTTGAAAGTACAACTATGTTATTTCCAGTGTACACTCTTAATATTTCAGCCATTTTGGAGAAATGAATTGTTGAAATAAAGAGGAATATTTTGACTGTCAAAAATTCTCCAACTGAACCAAAAAATATTTTTTATAGGACGAGCTAAAATTAGAGGTACTGTTTATGATAATAAAATCATCCATAATAATACAATTAATTATTTGAAATTTGTGAAAAGACCAACTCTTTCTAACTGTTGTCAGTGTTACAGAAGGCCTTCGTTGCACTCTTACAATGGAATAATTCAAACACCAATTTTTTCCCCAAACAAATGGTTGGTTCAGCTAATCAGACTGATTGCAAAGCCAAACATGTCTTGAACTCGGTCAATAATTGACAATATTTGCAACAAACATCTTTCACCCACTTATCTCAAACAGAGTTCAACTCAGAGTTACTTCCCTTTCACCAGGGAGAAAAGTTTCTTTGGGTAATTTTTTGCTGCAGACAACAATTCCTCTGTATCAACTCATGTAATCATTTTCTGTAAAGTATAATGAATTAAAGCTTTTAAACAATAAACTTTTATTCTCACTGAGTGAGTGAGTGAGTAGGTGAGTGAGTGAGTGAGTGAGTGGTTTTGTGCTGCTTTTAGCAATAATTCCATTCATATAAAAGAAGCGAGACACCAAGAATGGGCTCCACACCCTGTGAGGAAATAAACCCAGGACACTTGGGCATGATAAGCCAATGCCTAAACCACTAGACCATTCCACCACCCCTACTTAACTAAGAATGCTTCATAATTATTTATGTTTATGGTAACCAACTTACTTCTTTATTTATGCTTACATTAATACCTGTGAGTTATCAAAGAAAAATAGACTACTAAATCGTCATAATTTGCAAACTTTACATGCTGAGTTGGCACTGATTTTATTAACCTCCCAAGACCTGGGTCCACTTGCACAAAGCGATCTTAGCGCTAAGACTATTGTAAACCTATGTTAAAGTATGGGAGTTACGATCGTCTTAGCGCTAAGAGCGCTTTGTGCAAGTGGGCCCTGGTGGATGAGGCACATTTGCCCTCCATGTTGTTGTGCAGAAAACAGATCCAGGGACACCTGTGAATCTATTATCTTGTAGAAAGCAATTCCATGGCCTTTGACTGGCTAATCAAGCAATTATTTCTTTGTTTTCTTAAACTGAAAAAAATATGACAAAAGGCCACACCCACTAATGGACTCCTGTTTCCTGATTGGCTGATAACAGAATAGGTGGTGCTTGTGTTGCATTAATATATTGCACTGAATGATGGCATTGATTTCGTACTGTTATCTACATTTTGTGTGTTAATGATTAAATAAGCAGTCTGGGAAGTTATCATTGACATGAATATTTATAAGAATCAAATTCAATATGTTTCCGTGTTTATGGAGGTATAAAGGGTAAAAAGTACAGTGCAAATCTGCTATGTTGACTGACACAGTATGCACACAATTTTTTACATTTATACCTCCACAAATGTAAAAAATATTGAAGTCAGTTCTGAAGTAAATATGATATATTTACACTAGTTACAGACAATTTGATTCCTGCTTATCTGTACCAAACTTTCAGCATCCTTGAATAGCCGGTGTATTATATTGCCATCCGTTATGATAAATATACCCTGGACCTATTTGTCTCCATAGCTTTGTATAAAAAATGACGTCACCATCCCAATCTCACTGACGTAGGACAGAATTTCTCTTGTCCCTGTGTAAACTGACTGGATGGATATTTTCAGCATTATGTTATTTCAAT